AATAATTAGAGTGAAGAGACAGCCCTTGGGATGGGAGAATATATTTGCAAACTCACCCTCAGATAAGGGACTGATAACCAAAATATACAGGGAACTCAAGCAGCTTACCTGAAAAAAAAAAAAAAGCAATCAATCCAATTAAAAGATGGGCAAATGAGCTAAACAGTCAACTCTCCAAGGAAGACATGTGAACAGCCAAAAGGCATATGAAAAAAATGCTCAACATCACTTATCATAAGGGAGATGCAAATCAAAACCACATGAGATATCACCTAACTCAATCAGAATGGCTAAGAGTAAAAAAAAAAAAAGGTAAGTGTTGAAGAGGCTGCAGTGAAAAAGGAATTCTCCTACTCTGTTGGTGGGAATGTATATTAGTACAACCACTATGGAGAACACTATGGAGGATCAAAGACCTGCAAATAGAACTACCATATGACCTAGTAATTCCACTCCTGGGTATGTACCGAAAGGATAGAAATACACTCAGTCAGAAAAACACTTGCACATCCATGTTCATTGCAGTATTATTCACAACTGTTAAAACATGTAATCAACCCAAATGTCTAACCATGGATGAATGAATTGAAAAAGTGTGGCACTTAGACACTGTGGAATACTACTCAGCCATAAAAACAATGAGACCTCGGCATTTGCTAGAAAATGGATGAATATAGAAGATTCAATGCTAAGCAAAGCAAGCCAGGCTATGAGAGAGAGGTATAGTATGTCCCCACTTAATATATTCCAAATGTCTGCACTCTACGGCAGAAACTACAAGACTGGAAGGCATAAAGTCATGGAAAGCAACCATGGACACCAGAGACTGTATGGGAGGAGGGTGGGGAAGGAGGAAGGAGATATGGAATGAAGGTGAAAAAATTCAATGGACAAAAAAAAATGGAAAATTATCTGTTAATGACAATTTGTATGGTAATCTCTTTGACTGGACTGACATATAGTGAATTAATGAAGGGAAAATTCACTTTCAATGCTGCAAAGATATACAGTGATTGAATGTAAAAAGTGAGAAAAAAAATAAATGAAAAAACAAACAAATAAAAAATACAGAGATTCTCCTGCAGAGCCATGGAGCAGTGATCAGACGTGGGAAGTTCAATACTGTTGCACTACGATTGTCCAGCATAGGTCTCGACATATGTCTTTTTTGTCTTGTTCCACATTCAGGATCAAGTAAAAAATCATGCAACAAATTTATTATTGTCTCTTTATTCTCCTTTAATCTATAAAGCTTCCCCTCCTCACCTTTGATGTCCCTGCCATTGGCATTGTTACAGAGTTCAGTCCCATTGCCATGTAGACTATCTCGCAATTTGATTCTTCCAATTATTTCCTCAAGAGCACAACATCTGGGAACCAGCAGTTAGCGTAATGGCTATGTCGCTGGACTCCCACATAGTTGACTGCGGTTCGAGTCCCGGAGCCGGTGGCTTAAAACTCACGCCAGGCTCATGTGCGTACGTGCCCGAGATCCTGAGAGGAGAATGGAGGAGAAGGGATTGCGGTGTGACCATCCCCCCTGGGGGGTGATTTCTTGCTTTCTGTCTCTATGTCTCTGTCTGGCGAGCGCACGCGCCCTATAGTGAAAAACCTCTAAAAAAAAAAAAAGAATACAACATTTTGCTACATTTTAAAAAACACATTCTTGCCCGGATCTTAGTATACTGCTCAATGGAGTAGGAATGAGTGACTGCTCTCTGAAGCAGCAGCTCAGATAGCTCAGTGTGCAGAATCAGTTATGCAGGAATGACTGGAACAGACAGAATTCTTGCCTGAGAAGCAGAGAATTGCAGATTATCAGGAAATATGCATGCCTTTTAGGTTTTAAAGGTTTTATGTTGGAAAAAATTGCTGACTGGAATAACAAGAGGTTTCAGCTCCTGGGCCAACTTTGATTGCAAGTGACTATTGAGGTTCCCCAAGGCTTGGGGAGGAAGGAATTCAGTAATGCACGAGTGACATGTGCCTTGGGTCTCTAAGTGAGGGGCCTCTAAACTGAGGCATCAGCCAGTAAGAATGCTGCCCTTGGGAGGAATGACTTTGGCCTTACTACCTGCTGTAGGCAAGCCTTTTCTCTTACCTAACCTGGCAAGTTTCACTGAGCGTCCAGACATACACAGCCCTGCACATCAAAGCTGGTCAGAAGTTGGTGACATTGCTCTTCTCTCGTGGCTTGTGGTTAACTAACCATTTCTCTGTCACTACAGCTCATACACACTTAGTTTGACTTCGTCCTCACACAAATACTTAGAAAGGTATGAACTTACCCAACTGCAGTGGCGCAGGCACTTGCAGGGACATCCAGCAAGAGGTTGGAGACATATGGGAAGGCCCAGGGTCCAGATCCCTGATGGATCTGAATGTGAGCCGAGTGCTCACACATGCCTGCCTGTGGTCCTGGCTGGCTGGGATGCTGGGTGGAGGGGTGAGGGATGGGGGAGGGAGATTGCAGCATCATGAGACCCTGTCTAGGGTTAACTCTCTCTGTCTCTCTCAAGAAAGTAAATAAATACACGTTCAGAAATTGCACAAGTTCTCTTGTAAAGAACTATTGCTAAAACATTTAAAAGCTAACTCTAGTTGATCACAAGTGTTGATTAATCTTACAAACATCATTAGAAGATTAAAAGCCCATGAATTTCCTCCCTGGTCCTAGGGCAACAACCTGGACATCTTTATTGTCATTTTTGAACATAAATTTAAATATGGAACAACCTTACCTTCTTGGAATTTAGTTAAAAGTAAATAAGCTGTACCATGGAGATTTTACTCAGAGAGAATGGCAACAGGATCAAGGTTCCCCAGTGTGCCCGTGTGTGTGCAACTGCCTCTCAGTCAGTCTGTGTTGGGAGGAAGTTTCTCACTCTCTGCCAAATAAGTTTATCGTTCTTCAGATCTTTCCTGATGGAGTACTGAAGAATTTGCATGCTGATGATGGAGGGCACTTTGTCCTGGTCTATCCTAATTTTTTAAAAATGCAATTTGTATTCTGAAACTATATAAAATTAAGTAGGAAAGCATTAATATTAAACAAAAATTTATTTTGCACTGATCACTGACAGTATAACGTGTTCACACATTTCTTACTGTGTTTTGAAAAATGAAATCAATTTTTTTGAGAGTTTTTTTTTTTTTGCTATAGAGCACGTGCGCTCACCAGACAGACAGAGACAGAGAGACAGAAAGTGAGAAATCACCCCCAGGGGGGATGCCCATGCCGCAATCCCTTCTCCTCCGTTCTCCTCTTGGGATCTTGGGCACGCATGCACACACGCCCAGCGTGAGTTTTAAGCCACCGGGTCCGGGACGCGAACCGCGGTCGACTACATGGGAGTCCAGCGACATAGCCATTACGCTAACTGCTGGTCCCTGAAATCAATATTTTCAAATTAAAAAACATGGAAAAAATAGAAATTTGTGTAGAAACACTAATTATAAATTTGTCACATGCAGACAAAAGAAATACAAAGAGGTCCCTTATGCCTCTTGCTCAGTTTCCCACAATGGTAACTTTTTATTAAACTATAGCATAATATCACAACTGGGAATTCAGCATTCACACAATCTCCTGCTCTTATTCAGAATTCCCCAGTTTGGGACCAGCAGTTAATGTAATGGCTATGTCACTGAACTCCCATGTAGCCGACCGTAGTTCAAGTCCCGGACCTGGCGGCTTAAACTCATGCCAGGTGTGTGTGCGTGCATGCCCAAGATCCCGAGAGGAGAATGGAGGAGAAGGGATTGCGGCGTGGCCATCCACCCTGGGGGGTGATTTCTTGCTTTCTATCTCTCTGTCTCTCTCTGTCTTTCTGGTGAGCACACGTGCCCTATAGCAAAAACCTCTCACAAAAAAAAAAAAGAAAAGAAAAGAAAAGAAAAATATGAAGTACACTCCTCAAACTGTTTGTGGTTACCAAATATTGATCCATAAATCTAAAACAGCAAGGCTACAGCTTTGACATTAAAACAATTGGGGGCTGGTCGCATAGCCTAGTGATTAAGGAAGATGGATCCTACATGGCCAAACATGGTTCAGATCCTGGACATAGCAGCTAGAAAAACATCCTGGGTACCTGTGCATGTCCAAATCCTAACAGGATGGCGAAATGGAGGAGAAGGGATTGTGCTACGGCCATACCACATTGGGGAATGCTTTCTCCCTCCCTGTCTGTCTCTCTCTCTCAGGTGAGTGCATGCACCCTCTGGTAATTAAAAAAAATCAGCAAACATCTCACAGACAGACTATTTGAGACTATCTCATAGCTCTCTCCTGTGGGGATGAAAAATTCCCTTCCACCTGGGAGAGAAGAGCACTGAGAAACTAGGGGAGCCATTAGCCTAAGGCAGTACCTGGGGGTGTGAGGGAACTGGGTTTATCTGAAAAGCCACATACAGAGAAAATCCAAATATTTAGTCTAAGCAAACCGCCAAAATCTTTACATTTTTTAAAAAATAATTACAATGGAAAGATAGCAGGTCTTTTCCCCACCCCTAGCCACCCAGCAATCTATTTCTGCAATTTCAAGCATTCCTTATTTATTTAGAAGGTAAAATACTACGTGTGGGATAAGATATTTAATGAAATCTCTGCAGCCTAAAGCAAGAAAATAGAAGTTCTTTTCAAATGTACATTTTTGTAACATATAGATACATTTTCCCATAAGAAATTCCCAGCAAAATTGAAACCACATGTGCAGATGGCCAAGGCGCTGTGCATGTTCCTGTGCAAGCAATTGAGCAGGGCTGCTGTACCACCAGCCTTCTTAGCTCCAGGAGCTGAGCTGAGCTGAGCTGTCCTGGCAGCAAGAAGCCCCCCAGGAAGCACGTGGAGCTCAGCAGTGAGCAACACTGTAGCAAGTGCACTGTTTTTTTCACCCTCACCCTGCTCCATTTGCTCTCCCAAAGTTGCAAACTGTGAGTTTCCTTCCTGATAAACTCCAAGGCTTCCTCACTGATTGGTCTGTTTTGCAAAGGACGTGACATCAGCAACTCCCCAGACTTGGGGCTGTGGGGCTATTGTGGGCTTTGGCCAGCCTCCAGGCAGCTAGGTGGAGAAGGAGAGAGAGGGTATGTGTGTGCGTGTGCGTGTGTGTATGTGTATGTGCACGTGTCTGTCTGACCACAGGTAGTACTCAGATTACCCTGCCTGAACTGTTTTCTGTTGCAGACCGTTTGACCAGGACGTGTGCTACTCAGCCAGCCACAGAACTGGAATTTCCCAGGAGCAGAGAGTGTGGAGTTTGGACTTTCCTGAGCCACTGAAGTGGGGCACAGAGTTTGCTGGCCCAGGAGAGCACTATGGATGGTGAAAGAGGGGGCAGGAACGGCGGCAGGTCCCAGGGACCAGGACACGCTCCTGATACCAGGCTCCTTTCAAATCCATGGATGGGAGGTGAGTCTAGGGGCTGTGGGCTCTGAGCGCTGGGAGGTTGGCTAACTTGCTAGGAGGGAGGAGAGAAGAGTGCTGGGCAGTTTCAGTGGCTCTGTCTGAAGTATGTCCATGGGGTAGTTACAGGACAGATATCCATGGCCTGTTGCTTTATGTCCTTTACACAGCTGCAGAGTCCTGTAAAGTATACACATTTAATAGTCAGAGATTGTTGTCTAGTAAAAACTTCAGCTCCAAGGAATTGTTCTTTGTGGGTCAGATGAGTTACCTATTAAATTGGAGGTTTAAAGTATAAGCAGGAACATTTTTAATGTGAAAATGTTTCTTGGAACCAGCAGTTAGTGTAATGGCTATGTCGCTGGACTCCCATGTAGCTAACCGTGGTTTGCGTCCCGGACCCGGTGGCTTTAAACTCATGCCTGGCGTGTGTGTGTGCGTGCTCAAGATCCCGAGAGGAGAATGGAAGAGAAGGGATTGCCGGATTGACCATCCCCCCGGGGGGTGATTTCTCGCTTTCTCTCTGTCTCTCTCTGTCTTTCTGGCGAGCGCATGTGCCCTATAAGCAAAAACCTCTCCAAAAAAAGAAATGTTTCTTTTATTAAAAGATCATAGGTGGGACCAGTGGTTAGTGTAATGGCTATGTTGCTGGATTCCCACGTAGTGGACCGTGGTTTGTGTCCCAGACCCGGTGGCTTAAACTCACACCGGGCACGTGTGCGTGCGTGCCCAAGATCCCGAGAGGAGAATGGAGGAGAAGGGATTGCAGAGTGACCATCCCCCCGGGGGGTGATTTCTCGCTTTCTCTCTGTCTCTCTCTGTCTTTCTGGCGAGCGCATGTGCCCTATAAGCAAAAACCTCTCCAAAAAAGAAAAAAAAAAAGGTCATAGGTATTTGGCATCTGGGTGGGGCTGGGTTTATAAATAATGTTCAAACATTGAGCACTGATTGATTCAATTTAAAGGCAGTTTAGTTTTGTTTTTTCTTTCTTCTTTCTTTTTCATTTTTTTTTAACTTTGGAGATGTGTCTTACAGGTATAACTCTCACCTGTTTGTGATGTCTTTGCTAATGTGTAGAGTCCCATGCACATGGGCACTGTCACTCTATTGTCAACAGCTGGCAGGTGCCTGCTGGCCGAAAGGATTCTGAAAAATGGGTCTGGGCATTCCAGGAGAAATGAGGGAGCAAAAAACAGGCACCCTGACGTCAGCTAAAAGTATTCATCTCCTACTGTACAGGTACTGAAAGGAGAGAAAACAGAAGGGATGAAATACAAAGTGCCTTCCCTCTGACCAATGGAGTAGAAAAGCCTGCTCATTCATTCATTTATCCAATTTTGCACATAAAATGAGCAAGGCACTCAGTGCTGAGTAGGGGTTGAATCCACAAAGGCAGAGCCAGATTAATCAGTAGCTATGTTGAGCACGAATTTGGAGCACTAGCAATGCAGAGTGGCACCAAAAATCACTTCTTAAAAAGAAGTTGATAAATGTATTTTCAAAGCAGCAAACCAGTCATTATAGGAAAGAATCAGTCATTTGGTTGACTTCCACATGATTATTTTACAGCTAAGTATTATGTTTATTTTTGTTCCTTCGTGGGAGAGAGGCACCAGCCACTTTCATTGTATCAATTTTCTAACCCAACCCCCCTGGATGCTGGATGGGTGGGTGGGAGTGCAGCAGTGTAACAATCCAAGGTATGGTGCTTGGCAAGTTAGAGCTAGAATGCAGAGGGCCTCAGGGAGCTACTGAGAACAAGTATGGAGATAAAGTTTTAAAAGCTAAGTGGAAAAGTTTAGTGGGAGCCACTGATGGTTCTGGAGCAGAGACTTTGCAGCAGTGAAGGCTATAAGTGAATTAATCTGGTAGCCAGGATTAGACTCTGATGAGATCATGAGAGATTGTTGCTTGAACCCCTTGGTTCTTGAATGCTTATATGCCTCTACAGTACTTGAAAGGTTTGTTAAAATGCAGGTGATGGGACCAGCAGTTAGCGTAATGGCTATGTTGCTGGACTCCCATGTAGTTGACCGTGGTTCACATCCCGGACCCGGTGGCTTAAACTCTGGCCGGGCGTGTGTGCGTGCGTGCCTGAGATCCCGAGAGGAGAATGGAGGAGAAGGGATTGCGGTGTGGCCATCCCCCCTGGGGGGGTGATTTCTTGCTTTCTGTCTCTCTGTCTGTCTCTGTCTATCTGGCAAGTGCATGCGCCCTATAGCAAAAAACCTCTTCAAAAAAAAAAAATGCAGGTGATGCAACTTCTGATGAACTGGTAGATCTGGGGATCTGCATTCAAGCTCCCAGCTGCTGCTAATCACACTGATCGGGAATCATGCTATGAGAACTGCTGTGCTTATCCAAGCATAAAGCTGACATTTGGGTATTCAGCTTTGGAAATGACAGAGAAAGGGTGATCATTTTTTTTTTTTGGAGAGGTGCTATAGGGCGTGTGCGCTCGCCAGAAAGACAAGAGACAGAGAGATAGAAAGCAAGAAATCACCCCCTCCCCGGGGAGATGGCCATGCCACAGTACCTTCTCCTCCATTCTCCTCTCGGGATCTTGGGCACGCACACACATGCGCCCGGGGTGAGTTTAAGCCACTGGGTCTGGGACTCGAACCGCGGTCGGCTACATGGGAGTTCAGCGACATAGCCATTGCGTCGACTGCTGGTCCCAAGGGTGATCATTTTAAAGGAAAGCAAAATCAGGCTATGCTGCTTGCTTAAATATTGAGGCTAGAGGAGTGAAGGTAGCCAAAAGTGCCAAGTTCTCAAACCTAAATTCATGACAAATACAAGGGCTAGATAAGAGGGAAGTTGGGAACATGAGTCAACCTGGGAGCAGTGGGGAAGGAAGAACGTGCGGTTCTCTTCTGGATCTAGAAGTACCAGTGACAATGCCCAGTACACAGCATGATGGCATGGCAGTGGGCTGGGAAACACTGGTTGGGAGTCAGAAAAAACCTTGAAACCCAGGGAAAGAAGAAAGTGTCTGATGGCCAAGAGCCAAGAGCCAGGGATGGACCTGGGACAGGCCTTCAGTTGAGGATGTAGGGCTTGGAAGTTGGACAGAGAGGCAAATGACCCCCTAGGTGGTGTAATTCCACTACAGGGACTGAGGAGGCAAAGTTTGCAAAGTGGAAGTCACAAGGGTAGATGCCTGAACATCTCTGCTTTCCTACCTTCTATTTTTTTTTTTTTTTGAGAGGTTTTTGCTATGGGACTCGTGCGCTCGCCAGACAGACAGAGACATAGAGACAGAAAGCGAGAAATCAACCCACAAGGGGGATCGTACCTCACCAAGA